GTCACCTATGATATCAGTTCTGAGAAGAAGGCTCTCAGGAAGTTGTGTGTGTCATTACTTAACGTGTTTGTTTTGTAGAAGAACCTTATTAAGAACACACTACATGTTCCTATAACTCATATATGTTTTTTTTGTTAACTGGCACTAACTTTTAATCATCCTCGACTCTCACTTGTAATGGCTCTAGAGAAAATGAAACATGAAAAGAAAAGATTAAGACTAAGAATAAGTAAAGTGAAGTACATATTGATGCATCTTTAATAAAGCATGCTTTATCATAATGTTTCAATTTTGTTGGTAAGTAAATTATTATTATGTAAGATGACAAAATGCAAAAATCTTCTGTGTGTGTGTGTGTGTGTGTGTGTGTGTGTGTGTGTGTGTGTGTGTGTGTGCAGGATGAAGAGGCTATTTGCCCACACATATTCTTTCAAAGGCTTAATTTCTGCTGCATGGGCAGAACTTTCTGGTGTTTGCTTTTAAAAGACAAAGATTGTTAATGCTTTTTGAACATGTGTACAGTTTCTTTAGATTCAGCAAACTTAACACTAAACTAAAAACCTACTTATACTACAAAGTTATCTGTTCTAGGGATGAGATTGTTTAGCCGACTAAACGATTAATCATTTCACCATCGCTTGTCAGCACCAGAGTTCCTGTTAGGTTAAATGTCCTGCTAATATTTTTAAATGTTGACCCTTTATATCAGTCAAATAAACTCTCTTATCCAGGTCTACACTCCCTCCCGCCCACTACGCTCTGCCAATGAAAGGCGTCTGATCCAACCTTCACAACAGGGTCCTAAGATGCTGACTAGACTCTTCTCCTCTGTCGCCCCCCGGTGGTGGAATGAACTTCCAAACTCCATTTGATCTGCAGAGTCCCTCTGCACCTTTAAGAAAAAGCTAAAGACCCAGTTCTTTATGAACACCTACGACCTTCATGATGACGATAATGATGATATTTAGGATGGTTTTGATGCTGATAAGAACTCTCAAGAGCAGCTGTGGATATTGTGCCTTCTCTCTGGTTACTTCCTATCAGCACCTGTGTGTCCGATCACACTTCAAGGTAGGGTTGGTAATTTCCTCCAGATCCACTTTTTAGATGTTAGTTGAAATTGTCTTTAGGTCCTGACAGAAATTAATAACTCATGTTCTCTGAAAAATGAAAGAAGAAAATCCATCATCTGTATCAGTTGTAAGCCTGTGAAAACTTCGACCAATGTCTGCCACGAGGTACCAATCTGATGAACCAATCACACGCATCCCTGTCTCCCTGCTCGTTCTCTACCCCTTGCGTGCACGAGCCCACACTCAAAGCGCGTCACCGATGACAGAGTTTATACTGTGACTTTGCGTTGGCTGTTGTGAGTAGTAAAATAGTCATGTTTTTTTTTAAGTTTAGTGTTTTCTTACCACTGAATGAGACGCGAGGAGTCAGTTTCTACAAAATGCAAGAGATGAGCTGAGGTCCACTTATGGAGCAACGGCGCTCATGCGTGTAATTGAGGGGCGTGGCTTTAGAGGGAGCACAGAGGGGAGGGGGTGGGTGTAGACGTAGCACTGAGGGAATGCTACTTTCAGTATCATGCTAGTTTTAGAAAATGTCCAGCCTTCCCTTTAAGGATGCCTTCACACCTAAGATGTCCGTTTGAAACAACCTCTGGTGCTCTTTGTGGGATAGTTTGTTTGGTTTGAGGTGATGTGAATACTGAAATGACCTCTAGCGCGGACAAATTAACCAAACTCTGGTCCGCTTCATAATGGGGGTCTCGGTTTGCTTCCAAGTACACCAGAGTTCGTTTTGCTGTAGGTGAGAACGCAATCAGGACCAAGGTAATATCAATATAATTACGACAGTGATATAACTTGAATAATAATATTGAGTTGTTTTAAGTTGCCATGGTGAGATCCTTATGTCAATTTTGGAATTTAAAACTATATTGTTTGAGGGATTTAATGAAGGGGATTTTGAGAAAGAAAATAAAAAGGGAACTTAATAAATTTGATGAAAGTTGACTCTGAGGCTTTGATTCGGATAGCACAAGCTTGACTCAACACCCCAATCTCATAATCAGAATGCTTCCTTACTGAGACGTAGTGTTCAATTGAACTCCGCCGAATGGTGCCAAGACTTCCCGTCGAGTTCTTTCGAATCAGGAATGCCGGTGGCCCACGGTAATCGCCGTAACAGGTCTGGTCGGAGTCGACAATGAGATGGGTTTGAAGAAAAACACAGCGGTCCAAGCAGTTGTCCGTGGGTCCGTCTCTCAGCGGCTCAAAGAGTCTTAATTAACGTTCGTCAGGATTGACGCTCGTTGATCCTCACTTGACTTGAATGGTCACTTGTAGTCAAGTGTGAGGATTAGAAAAATTACTGTTCTGGAAGACGAATGATCAATACTTCAAAAAGGAGAAAAAGATAGTGGCGCTCAATCTTAGGCTGTAGGAAAAAGCCTTAGAATGCGTGCATGAAGAATCAGGGTTGGTTTAAGTTGGATTCGAGTTCTGCAGGTCCTGCAAATCCAGACTTAAATTCAAAGAGTTTCGCGCTGGCAAAACTTGAAGAAACAAAGTGGTTTGAAACAAGAAGGTCTTTCCAACCTGAAGACAGTTAGACGATTTCCGCCTGTATGGGAATGAAATCAGCATTATACCATACAACATTCAAAAACACATTAATATAGTATGAAGAGTATAAAATCATATCTTAAAATACTAAGTTTATAACTAGGACAAAATCACAT